CCCCAAAACCCCAAAACCCCAAAACCCCAAAACCCCAAAGTTTTAAACTAAATTTGAAAAAGATTTACTAGCCAAATTTTAAATGGCAACTATTGAAGAGCAATATACTGAAGAAGAGGAATACCAGAAGGAGTTTGAAGAGAATGCTGAAAACCATGAACCTTCGCTAGAGGAGTACATTGACATAATCACTCAGCATCAGAAATAAATGAGAGGAGGAAGGCAAATATGTTGAAGCCGAGATGGCCATGAACAGAGTCAAGGAACTTAAGGAGCAACTAAAGAACCGTGATAATGAAGAGCTTCAACAAATACATGCTGAAGATCTTGCTGAGCTTGAGGAGACTCATATCCAAGAATTCAATGCTTTCAATGAAGAATGGGATAAAATTATGAGCCAGTTCCAAATCCATGCTTCTGAACTGATCAGGTCACTGGAAGAGAAGCATGACCAGCAAATTCAAGAGGAGATGCAGAGGATAAATGAAAAGCTTGGTGATAAGTATAAGAAATCTCCTGAGCTGCTTTCTCTTATCTCAACACAGAAGAATCTGGCGAAACAGAAGGAATATCGGGAAGCTCATAAAATTCAAATCGAGGCTCAGGAACTTGAGAGAAGAGAGAGGGAGAAGTACTATCAGGATAGACAAACCAGCATCGAGAAGCACGAGACAAGGATAATCCGAAGCCAGGAGAAGGAAATGGAGTCCCTCCGTGAGAAAATAATCGCAGGAGAAAATGAACAAAAGAAGGAAAGGGCACTTAAACTTGAGTGAATGTTCCAACGTTATCAAAATTCAAAAGCCGAACTCCAAGGACAACAGAAGAAGGACCAGAATATGCTGAAGAAAGGATTCTCTGGGTTTAACCCTAATATGTCTCAGGTTAGCAGAGCTAGTGGCCGTTCTCAAGCTTCTTCTATGAAGAGTATTCATCGTTCTGGCCAAAAGAAGAAGCCATCGAATATGTCTTCAAGGAAAGTTATTTAAAGTGATTTCAATTTATGTATTTATAAGAGGGGTTTTGGGGTTTTGGGGTTTTGGGGTTTTGGGGTTTTGGGGTTTTGGGG